AAATCTCAAAATATCTAGAGTTTGGGGATTAGCTAGAAGAAAGGTGACTGAGGATTTTTGGTTAGGGGAAGATGCAGGAAGGCAGCTAAAATAGTTTAAAACTAGAACATATAAGCATAAGAAAATGAACAGGTTTTGAACTGTTAGCAAGGGATAAAAATTTTGCTATTGAAGTGATTTGTACACAAGTCCAAGGCTGGAACACATTGGTCACTGTCATCATCATGCCAGATGTAGATCATGATGTCCTTGAAAATTTTATTTTGAGAAATAAATAGAAGAAACTGAATGACAAAAGGATACACAATGAAAGAACAATAGTCTTATAATATCAATTTCAAAATTTACTTTGGATGTAACAGGAATCAAGAAAAATGACCAGAGTTGTGTACTTACGTTCAACTAGGGTCTAATGTGCTTAGTTTGAGGGCAAGCAGTTCAACAGGAATACTAAATCAGGGCAATAAGCAAGTATCATCTTACACTTGTGCCACACATGTAATTGCAAAACCAATTACACGAACAGAATGTACAAAATAATAAAATGAATGCAAATGATATTGATGCGACTATTCAACATTTAACTTCTAGAGTCCTTTGGAAAATTCAAAACAAGTGTTTAAAACCAACAAAATTTGTAACTCAAAGGAAAAATATTTCTGATCATTCTAAGAACCACTGATCATTATATTTACACACACTAAGAATCTATTAATGTTAGATAGAGTGCACAATATAAAAAGTATATCAATTTAGTAAATAGATCGAACCATACAGATGAAGAGCAAGCTCTCAAGGGGAAAGAAGGAATATCACGTGAACAAATGTTTGCTGCATGCCCATTGCAAGATGAATGCACAGGTCTGTTCTCTTTTCCAGTGAAATCTCTAGACCCTGGTAATTTATGAAATGATTAATAGAGATGAAAGTTTGCTCAGTGTCATTACGAAAATTTGAGATGGGAAAAGACATATAGTATATGCCCCAATCAAGAAACAATTATTAACATACTTAGAGATTCTGGCTGTGAACCATAGACTTCTTGCTCTCGAAGATGACATAAAACAGCTGGCCACAGAGATGAGACATCTTTATTTGGATGGATTCTGGAAACTTCAATGAAAGCACTATTAATGTGTTCCTTGGAGTAACCCAATTGAGTAAACTGCAAAAGAAAAAAATTTAATAAACAAAGAAAAAGTACATTTCAATTATCAGCAAAAGAAAAACCATCTGCAAGTGAACCGAAAAGAGAATATGAGAAAAAAATAAGGATATTTTATTACATTAACTTCATGAACGTCCTTTGAATGAAAAGCGGTAACGTATGAAACACAAAACACAGACGGAACCCATAACAGTGAATTATAATATCGTAGGACACAGCATATGAGAAATAGCATATCATATATAGAAACTACAATAGCTTAAAATATCTTGAGATATGTTCGGTGTCAATACTTGCAATTTTGTATGGATTATCACAGCTGTTGATATTTTTCAAATAAATCATTATATGAACTTATTATTGAAGCCATTTAAAACTCATAGTAAAAGGGTTTTTGAAGCCAATATCATGGTAGCACCACAATAACACACAAAAGCGTCCAACTTTTCTATGTAACAGGAATATTTACAACAAGCTTGAAGTTTTAATCTTGAGAGGAAGTACTGTAATATAATATGTAATCATATTTTAGATTTTTGAGTATGATTAGTTTCCCTATTTAGGCTTTTCTTCATTATATCATAGGACTAGTTACAATATTTCATTATCATACCATGCCAATGATGTCATGAGATCAACATAACTGACCTCAAATAGTAGGATAAAGCTTCCTTATGTTAGAATTGTGATTTATAAAATTTATAAAAAAGGGTTAGTGTTTTAGGTTCTACGAGGAAATAGAACACAAAATTTCTACAATATGAATGTGAAGAAACAAAACAAAATAAGGAATTTAATTAAGAGGAAAAATACCCTCCCAAGGCAATCTAGAGGGACATCCATACGCTTCTTTTGCTGGGTCAATGGTGACAAAACCTCTGATTCCATATCATGATCATTGGGTTCCACATCCAATGAGTTTTGGTTATCCATACAAGAAGAAATTTCAACAGAAGCTGACTTCTCTACAGATTCTGCCATTCCAGATCTTGCAAGACAGTCACTAGCTGCTTCCTTGCCTTCTTGAGTTAGCATGTACCTTAACACAAAAAAAAAATCATCTATGGGGAATTTTTATTTGAACATATTCATGTTTCATTTACAAACCATATCTCAGAATTTAAAATTGTTTAACAAGAACAGTTCTAACAATTGCTGGTTTTACAATTTGGCATCCACTACATTAAATTTTAGACGTCCATTAGCATTGCTAGGTAGATTAATCAATTGAACACCTTAAATCAAAACTACAATGTTCAATGGTAAATGAATCACAAATAAAAAAAATGCCTAAAAGGACTTCGTAGGTTACCATATACATGGCTCAATTCACAAGGAAAATGAGCTCAAGCTTAACTCTCAATAAACACATAATTAGTTATAGGTTCACAGTATGAAGGTTCTCCTAACAAGTCGATTTTAATATGTGAAAAATAATTAAAAAGGTTACAGAAAGATTTATATACAAACACTAGCAGTACATTGCAGAAAAAAAAAACACGTGTGCACAATGAAAACTCATACTTAGCAGGGCAGCTTGACTTCACAACTAATCCCTTAGCTATCAAGGTCTTCATGCAATTCCATCCACTATACCAATCCCGTGGAGAACTTCCAAAATGTCCTGGTTTTCCTTTCCCTTTTTCTGGCCTGGTCATGAAGAATGTGCTTCATCAAAACTTGTATACATTTTCACAGATACTTATATACATAAAACACAAAACAGAAACAAGAAACAACTAATCATACGCAATTGCCACTCGAGATAGCCCACTAGCTTCAGCAGCATCAATAAGCTCTTGCTTACGCATAAAGTCATTCCCGTTTGAAGTTCCCCTATTAAAAAGTGAGTTAAATCTTATAATCTAAAAAGTTTTACCATGATAACTTCCAAACAATTTTCATCCAGAAAGAAACATATACATTAGTAGCACATGTGACTGTATTGTGTATGCATACCTGTAAAGGGTTATCAACAATGCATATGCGACAGAGTTCCTCTGAGGAACATAACGTTTGGTTCCTTTAGTTTTCTTTCCTATAAGATTGGAGAAAAAAGGAAAAATTAGACAGAACTGTAAAAAAAGAAAAAACAAAGTAAAGCTAATTCAAATAACAGAAAAGAAAAACAATAGCACTAGACATACCCTTTTTAGTCAAATCTTCCGGTTCAGAACCACCACAACCAGTCCCAAAAAACCCCTGTATAAGCCTCAATATCATTTTCCCCACACCCCTTCCAGAAAACAGAAAAGAGCACCATCAGATCAGTACCCTTAGAAACTCAATTTAAACACCCTTCCTTCGTCCTTAAGTATCCTTACTTCACAAACACACGAATATATACACAGAACCAATCACTAAACATCCAATAACCCCTTTACAATAAAGTTCAGGCCTCCAAGATCCACAACAAACCTATCAAATTTTGGATAATTTTCAAATTTCAAATTATAATTGGTGTTTTGTAATACACGACAACATAATAACCTCACTTATAATTATAAATATAGTCTATGACATTTTTCTACATATGATGTTAAACATAACAACATAACACCGCAAACAACAACAAAAAAGTCTCATCTCACTAGCTAAAACACAATATACCATTCGGCTCAGTTAAAGACCAAATCTTCAATGATATAAACATAACAACACAATGAGACAAAAACTGCACAAATTTTAAACTCCAAAACAAATACATTGTTTGTCAAAGTGGAACTATATTCGAATTCCTTATGCAAGGTCTCCAGTCGAACCTTGTGGACAGAAAGAAGGGAACCCAACTAAAAGTAGACTAATTTGATTTTCATAATATGCATGTAACTATAATTCTTAAGAGTGTGGCATTTCTACGATGAGATGGTGTGGGAGAAACAGATACGTACTTGACTTGAGAGAAATCTTTGATGGTTAGAATGGGGGTTTTGGAGCTACAGACATTGAAGTGGGCCTTGGAAAGGGTCATTTCGAAGTTATCAGAAATGCCTTTGGGTTGCTCCGCCATTTCCTGCCACTTGCTCCACATGTACGCCGCCAGCTCTTGGTTCTCCGGACACCGCACCTGACTTCGGTTCTCCATCGAGTTAGGGCTCGGTTCGCGTTGAAACGAAGGTGAGAGTGAGATGGTTCCTGTGGCGGGTTTCTGAATCGGAGTACCTGGTTACGGTTGCACAACCATGACGCGCCAGGTTATTCTGCGGTTCACTTTTCAAAATCAAAAAGTTCGGAACTTGCTGATTTTACATTCAACACTTCATTCATGTGTCTTGCTCCTCTTAGGATGGGCTTGGCTGGAATCATGGGCTCAGATAAATGAACAATGGTAATGGCTTCCTGCACCCCATCAATTTCTTCCTACACCCCAACATTAACAGTAAAAGACTAAAACATTATAATGCATTATAATAACCTCCTAATTATTATATTCCTGAAAAAATACTCAATTTATTACGTTTAATGAATTATTATTCTAGCATTATACAATTATGAGGATGAAGTTAGTTTAACAGGTAGAGTAATGTAGTCATTCACATAAAGAAAAGGAAGAATATATTAAGTTTGAATAATCCAATCATTAAATAGTGATGCATGCTAGATTTAAGGTAACAACGAAAGACGTAATTGGATATAACCTAACGTTGATGATGTGCATGAAACAGAAAACAGAGCGAAGAGTGAGAGAGAGTTCCATTTCCCAGAAGTAACAAAAACTGTAAACACATTGTTTTGATGATCGAAATCCAAATGCGTGCATGTTTGGTTTGTTTCTCTTGACCTCACACAACAGAACAATATAAGAACCCCTCCAATGGTTATCCCAAAGCATTCCACAAGAAAAGAACTGCAGAAATGGAAGACATGATGAAAAGCAAACACCTTGTGATATTGGGGATGATTGGAGTTTTAGTGTTTTGGAGTGATGTTGTTGTAGGGCAGTGCGCTGACATGAAGGGCCTCATAAAGCAATGTGGCGTGTATGTTGTGAAGTCTGGTCCACCGATGAATCCCTCGAGAAAGTGTTGTGAAGAGATAAAGAATGCAGATGTTGAATGTGTGTGTAAGAACTTATCCAACCAAATGCTGCACCTTATTGATATGCAGAAGCTGCATCATGTCGCAGACTCATGTGGAAGGCCAATAACCAAGTGTGGAGGTATATATATATATGTGTGTGTAGAGAATTGAAAAACTGTTTTTGGTTTAACTTGGTAAATCTGATACGAATTTATTGACTGAATTAGATGAAGATGAAGTTGAAGTTGCAGATGGACCTAAAACTGATGATATAAACTGGCCTCCACAATTTATGGAATCCGAAGATCCACCTAAAACTGATGATAGAACACCTCCAGAATTTATGGAATCCGAAGATCCACCTAAATCTGATGATAGAACACCTCCAGAATTTATGGAATCCGAAGATCCACCTAAAACTGATGATAGAACACCTCCAGAATTTATGGAATCCGAAGTTCCACCTAAGAAGCAATCAACTCGAAGGCTTTCACCCATAGTTCCAGCTAAATCGAATTTGAAGTCATCTCCTAAGTTCATGGAAACTGCAGATCCACCGTCTGATACTGATTAATCTTCTTTCTTTTCTTTTGCAGCTCTGTTACCTTCCCAATGGACCAACTTATTATGCCTCTATCATCTCTTTTGTAACCTCGTACGCTTTAATTATTATTACTATAGAATAAGTCAAATACACCAATGTAATCTTGTATCACTTTCATCTTATATATCAACAATCATCATAATTATCTATAACACTAATGTCAATTTGGATTCTCTTCTCTGTGTCTTATTCTTCTCACGTGTTTCAAAATACATTCATGAATACTGATGTTTCAAAAAAGACTTAGTTAAAAAAAATTCTTTTTCAGTAAATACTCTTACACTTCCTGGGTTAGAAACATTTGATTTGATTGTGGTTGTTGTAGTGTTTAATGTTTTACATTTTCATTACACCCCATTAAAGTTATCATTAATAATAAAATTTAAATAAACTAAGTAAATATAAGATTAAAATCTACATTAAATAGATATATTAAAGTTAATCTTTTTCTTAAAATATATGAGAAGGAAAAAATTGGATGGATGACAGAAGGATCATTACAATATATATTTAATAGATACCATAAATTTCGCTCATGAACAGTATAACTATTATATTTACTACTATTTACTTTAGCTCATTCCTTTGTATAAGACACTTTTAATATCATATGATATATATATATATATATATATATATATATATAAAAAAAAAATAAATGTTGAAGAATTAAACAGTCCAATCTCATAAATAAAAATTTTGAAAAAAAAATGAAGAACAATCAAACAAAATTCACAAACCTTAGTTCCAAGATCTTTATTTTAAAATATGGATTACTGTGCAACCGCCCACAGCTAATTTCTACCAAAGCCACCCTTATCTTGTCATAGCCTCGAACGTTACTATTCATAATTGAACCTTATCTGAAAATATCTGCTCCACCTGTTTCTTGTTCAACCGTACGATCAACCCTTTCTCTCTCTACCGTTGATCACTCTTGTCGCTTTCGGGCTACGTGTCGCCTCCACTTTTTCCTAACCTTAGCTTCGGAGTTCCGAAGCTCGAGGCTGCTGTCCCTTTTTCCCTTTATCACTTTTTCCCTGTCGTTATTTATCATCATTTGTGTCACTCTGCAGTTGTGATCTTTCTTCGCAAATCAACAACGTCAGTGTTGGGTACCCTGAAACTAGGTGACCATGGAGCATCATGTTTTCTTCATATGTTTGTGTTCACACCTGATGGGTGCAATTTTCTCGTTCAATTTTCATGCGTGATCAATTTCTTTGTTCTGTTTCTTTATTACTTTAAATGGTGTATTTTGATCTAAGTTTCAGGGCTTAGACTAGATCGTGCTTTTTGTATGGATACTAATTTAAAGATTGTATTTTTTTTTACTGGGTCTTATTCTGATGCAGTTAGACTACCTTGCACCGACCTTTTCTTTCAAGTGAAGGAACCCTTTTTATAGATTTTTTTCTCTTTAGTTCTTATATAGTGATCCTATTGTGCATATCGAATTTCGTTTGTGTATGTGTGCGGGCAGTACTAAAAAATTGGATTTTTTTTTGTTGTTTTTACTTTATTCCTCACTGATTTTGAGTGGTGGTTTCTTTAATTTCTGATTTTTTGGTGTGAGTAGGTGAGAGGGGGCTTGATCTTGTAAGTAATCGCTGGCTATGTTGTTTTGGTTCTTTTGATCTCTGGTTTGATTGGATATATAGTGTTATGGGTTTGTTGTACTTGTGATGGTTTAATTTCAATCAGAAAGGTGGTGCTCTTGCTATTTACAAACCATGAGTGGATCATGTAGTTGTTAGTTCAACTGAATGAGTCTCTTACAGTGGATGCTCACTGGGTTTATTTGATTCTGCGATCTGTTTGGTATTCTATTTTCTTGTATAAATTCCTGAAACTATAGATCTTCCCTGCACTACCTTGTTTTTAGGAATCGAACTAAAGGTGAAAGACTTTTCCTTTTTCTGAACTTTTAAGTGATACTGCATTGGTATATATCAATTCTCCATCTCTTTCTTTTGTGATTATGCCTTGCTGGACCATTTTGAAAAGAAAAAAATACTTTTCATAAATCAAAATGCACCTCCAAGAAAGTATTCATAATTGAAAACAAAAACAAAAATCTTTGAGGGCTTAGTGTTTTCCTAATTGGAAAATTGTAATTTATGAAAATAGTTGTAAAAATATGTCAAATGTTATTGATACGGTATGGATAGTCTCAAATGTTGTCATTAATATGTTGAGTAGTGTTGAATATATCTATTAAAAATGAATTATAATTTTCTAATGCATGAAGGACATCATGTAAATTGATATTTTGCTTTGATTGATGTACTGTGTAGATTGACTGTGAAGGTGTGATGGCTTTGGTCTCTGGAAGAAGTTCTGCTCTGAACCCAAATGCACCATTGTTCATACCAGCTGCTCTTCGTCAGGTTGAGGATTTTTCACCTCAATGGTGGGATCTTGTCAAATCCTCAACATGGTTTCGTGATTATTGGTTGAGTCAGCATAAGGAGGAAGAGTTTGAAGAAGTTGCTAATGACTCTACTAATGATGATATGGAGAATATGCTCTCAGAATCTTTTGATCTTGTCATGGAAGAAGACTTAAATGTTCTAGAAAAGGAGTTTGAGCAGTTGGTGATGTCCTGTGAATCACAAGATCATCCTGTTCAGGATAATCCTAATGATGGGAAAGTGGCTACTCATGGTAAGCATTGAAGCTAAACAGCCAACTGATCTGTGACTGTTTATAGAAAATCTTTCAACATTTTCTTGTGTGCTGGTATACTTACATGACTTAATTTTTGTTTCAAGCATGCCATGTTTTATGGTCGTATTGAGTGTCTTTCACTAGTTTATAAGTATACGGTGAATAAACCTATAACTTGATAATCATATTATTCATATGTTATGCTTATTCTGTATGATGGTGGTATCATTGTGAATTACTTGCAACATGATTTACTGCTATTGGAAGGATCTTTCCTTTTGAATGTTACATCTTTCAGTTGGTATTTACCATAAGATAGAGTAACTAGAATGTCTAATTTGTTTCTTAATCAGATCTTAACAAGGATGCTAAAGCCCTTCTTATTAACATGACACCAAAATCACCAAAGGAAAGGGCTCCTAAGTCACCTTCAGGGCTTGCAAAGCATAATGAGAAGCCAGCACAGCGTGTGAATGTCAAGGGTATGTCTCACAGAATCCACCAACCTCGTTGAGGAAACATTTGAAGGTGATAGGTTGGTAGCTAATGTTACTCACTATAGCATGTGATCTCTGGGGAAATAATTTTTGTATATAGAGGGTGCAGTGTCTTTGTTATGCTCTTGTTTCATGGTGTTGTATATTTGATGGAGCCCTAGGAACTGTAGGTAGGAGAGACTTTAATTCTGACAAGCCAAAATCCTTGAATGTCTATGGCTGATGAAACTTAGTATCATTTTCAATAAATGTTACATGGCATGGAAGAACGTGTGCTAGTGTTTGAGGTGTCTTAGGTTCAATGAGTTGGAGTGTAAATTAAGTGATTGGTTTAAAATTTGTGTTGGAGTGTAAACTATAGAAAAGAAACAAATTTTGAAGATAGTTTTTTTAAATATAATTTAAAATCAAGAATTTAGTGAATATGAGATTAAACTTATAAATTGACATATGTATAAATTATTTTTAGTTTATGGAGAAAATACTTTAATCCTTTTGTTCATATAAATAATTTATTCATTTGTGTTTCTTCTTTTGTTATCCAAAAGTAACTTATTTATTTGTGTTCAATTAGTCTAAAACTAGTTTTTTTTTCACGTTTTTTTTTCACGTTTTTTTTTCTTATTTCTATTCGTTGAAGTCATTTATATTTTTAATTAAAAAGATTATGAATTATGAATATTATATATTTTAAGAAATAGATTTTCGAAATTATTATTTATACTAATTTAATTAAATAAAAATAAAGTTTTTAAAATTTTTATATGGGATGTAGATAATTAGTTCAATTTTTTATGGATATGAGTTAGTCGAATGTATAATTGACCGGTATCCTTTCTTTTCGAAGAAATTTTGAATACATAAATATATTTATTCATATTTCTTGAATTGATATACATACAAGTCTTAAATAATTAGGCTTCCAAAAGAAATTTTTTATACATGAATGCCTCTGCCCATAGTTCTTGTATTGATTTACATACGTGTCTTAAATAATTAGGTTAATAAGGAGAAAATTAGTCATGTATTCGTCTATAAAAATAATTGAATTTGATAGAAAAAGAATAAAAATATGAAAAGAACTTTAATATAAATTTTGCATTTTTAAATTAATAAACGGCTTTTTTTTTAATCATGTAATAAGAAAACAGTTTCTTTATATAATAAGAGTAAAGATATAACCCAAAACTTAAGAGAAAAAATCACGTAGTTCAGAATTTTAATGTTTACATCCACCAATAACCAACAAAAAAGTATTATTTATGTAACAAAAAGTATTATTTATGTAACTTTTTTTGCAAAAATTATAAATCTTAATATATTTTTTTATGGATAAATTGTAAACTCTTTTCTTACAACTTCATGTGGATAAACTATAAATTTTTTCATACAATTTTTCTAGTGAAAATTGGAAATCTTTTAATAATATTACATAATTATCCGAAACTGTTATACTCTCAAGATATTTATTGATGTGGAACTTTGAAGAACACCTGTTAAAAAAATCAACCATCTTTCCTTCCTTTACCAATAGCTGAGATACTCTTGTTGACAACTTTTACATTATTATTATTATAAATAACTCATTGATATTTAAAGTAAAATCCATTATTAACACTATTCGGTCAAATTAATCACACATGCAACAATAAATTATTGTACAAAAATAATTATCAAAACTAATTTCATGCATTAACAAAATTATTGTACAAAAATAATCATCAAAACTAATTTCCTTCCAAATGTGCAACACCCAATATTAATTTTTTTCAAGGTCTTTTCCTCTCTTGATATAAAACTAAGCTTTGATATTACTATTAATAATCATATAATAGAAAAATAAATTTTTCAAGGGGAAGCACACCAATAATAAAAACAAAAATTAAAAACAAAAATTTAAATAAAAGCACATAAGAAATTTAATTTAGTTTAACACCTCAAAGATCATCTACATGTAACTAGTATATGGTTATAGAAACTACCGAAGTTAAGAAGATGTAAGGTAA